CAAAATAATATTCTTGATCCTTTTTACAAATTTTTCCTGAAATAAATTCACATCAATAATACTTCAGGACATATATGAAATTAATAACGCGACACAGGTAACTCAATTGGTATTAAGATAACCTTTAACCATGATCAACATAATTCGGCCCGAACGGTTCCCAATCTATAGACACAGAATGCTTTTGAAAATTTAACCTACAAAACATTTCTATTGAACGTTTAATCAGATCCGGATATTGTTTTATAATATCTTAGGTTTAACTTTAGAGAAGGAATTTAGTGACTGAATTAAATAATAATGAAAATTGCTGTAATAGCTGATATTGTTCATTTCCACATTGATAATTCTGTCCATTTTAGTTAATTCGTAAAGGAACTTTTCCTATTAATAAATAATTTTAGAAATAATCAAAGGAAAATTTGATAAGTTTACAATAATGAAAAAAGGAAAAAAAAAATTATTAATTAGTATTTGTTAAACTAACATCGTCGACGAACTTGAAATTTTGAAGTATTGTTAAATACTTATATCTTAGAATTTTGGATAAAAGTGAGAGACCTGCAAACATAAATTACGACTTACTTATTATAGAAAAGGGTAAACTGATTCGATATTAAAGATAATACAAGACATGCTTGCCTTTTCCTTAAATAATCAAATTATTATTCTTTTGGCATTCTGACTTAATCTTTTATGAATAAAAGGTATTACTTATCGGCCTCTCATTATACAGTAATGAAGTGATTCGTTCTATTAATAAAATTTTTAAAAATTCACTGCGTATTCCAAAAGCTTTATTAGTAAATTCACTAGATATAAGCTTTTTTAAAAGTTAGAGTATTATTTTTTTTTTTAAAAAAAAATGTTAATCTGCCTGATTTTTATTGACGGCAGCCCAGGTCGAAATAAAATATTTTTGTTAGGTTTGATTCAACATTATAAGGCTATCCTGAACAAGCCAAAATTTATATTTAAAATTACTGTATTTAGTAATATAACTGATAATATATTCTTTAAACTACGTATTACGTAAATTATATATTACATTTTACAAATATTTTATGTTACACAGTTGGTTTAATTTTATATTCTAAACTGGAATTATTCAAATAAAATTCTTTAAACCACAAATGTATGGATCGCTTCCTTAGCGCAGTCGGTAGCGCGTCAGTCTCATAATCTGAAGGTCGTGAGTTCGAACCTCACAGGGAGCATTGAGGAAATTTCTTTTTTTTTTTTTCTTTTTTAAAATCAACGTTAAGAATATTATTTGTGCAATCATTTGATAACATATATAAGAAACATGTGAATTCGCATAACAGAAACTTTAAAGGTTGAAAAGTAGTACAAATAGGGGGTTAAAAATTAAAATCTTATCGTTATCGTTATTTTATTTTTCCAAAGATACTATTTAAAAAATTCTACATATTTGATTTTATATAAATGCTTATCTTTACTTATTTAACCCCAAATATATGTTTATCTTATCAAAGATATAAAAGATAACGATAAGATTTATTTGTAATCAAATACGTAATAGTAAAGGTAGTTTTAAATAAATAGATTTAAATATAATCCTTTTTATATTTTTGAATTCTAAAAAATGAATTATTTAATTTTTGTCCGACGTCCTCTAAACATTAATATTTTGACTCCCTTTTCGATAAGAGGTTTTGCATTTACTGCTAATTCGTATCAAGTACAAACTTCTACGGTTTATGAAGATCCTAAATTTCGTATACAGGTATTTTACATTCTCGAAAATATTAAGTCATATGCAAGTACTTTACTAAGCACATTTTTTACGTTAATAGCAAAAGATCGCAGCGATCGAGAGGGTGCGCCCTTTTAATAGTTATTTGACTGACAGATTTGAAAGACAACACACATATCTAAGGATTTCACTCACAGAAAAATGTAATTTAAGATGTATGTGTGTTCTATTTGAATTCTCTTTTTTAAAAAAAACCATATCAGTTTTTATAAATATTAAATAATTATCCAGGTACTTATTGTATGCCTGCAGAAGGTGTCGATTTGACCCCTTCACATAAACTTTTAACAACTAAAGAGATTATACATATAGCTAGATTATTCGTTTCTCAAGGAGTTAATAAAATTAGATTAACCGGAGGAGAACCAACCGTAAGAAAGGACTTGGTTGATTTGATTGGTATGATCAGAACTTTTTTTTATCATTCCATTTAATATTTTCATTTTTATTTAATATAAAAAATAATTAATTGGATATTTTTCTTTATAGGTGAATTAGGAAAGTTAAAAAAACACGGTTTACAAACATTGGCTATGACTTCTAATGGAATAGCGTTAAAACGAAAGCTACCTGAACTGGTCAAAAATGGTTTGAATTTGTTAAATATTAGTGTAGATACGTTAGATCCATTAAAGTTCGAACTTATCACTCGTCGAAAAGGTATTTATTATTCACTGAATTAGTTTAAATTTTTGATATCCTTTATATATATATATATATAATATATATAATATATATTTATTATTAAAATGTATATAGGACTTGAACGTGTAATGGAGTCAATTGACCAAGCAATTGATCTTGGCCTTCGTCCTCTTAAACTTAATTGTGTGGTTGTGAGAGGAGTAAATGATCAAGAAGTAATAGATTTGATTGAAATGACTCGTACGAAGGCTATAGATGTTAGATTTATTGAATATATGCCATTTGATGGTATGTATTGATTATTCAATTTATAAATAGCTGTTGTATCGAAAATTTATAAACTTTTTCGGTTATTAT